GTGGGGGCGATTCACTACCAAGTCCCCTGGGGATGCACTGGTGGTTTGCAAGCTCCACGGGGGCTTCCTGGGTGAAACCTGAAGCTGGCCCCTTGTACTCAGAGAGCAGGGAGAGACCCAAGAGAGGCCACTCCAGGTTGGTAGGGGGCAGCTTTAATAAGCAAGAGAACTTACAGGCAATGATCATCCTGGGCAGCAGCAAGACCAATGGATCCCTGCACCTGCCAACCTCATCTTAAAAGTTCACACAGAGGCCTTAATTGGGTTCAGTCACGTATACCATCCAGATGACCTCAACACCATATCAGCACCTCAAGGCCGTGTCCTTGGACCAGCCTCTGGTAGTGGGCAGGCAAGCAGAACCTTCATTCCAAGGACAGGAGAGGGTATGGGGAGCCTCCAATTTCCCAGGCCCAGCTCACAGGCCAACTGGCAGTCATGTCTTCTCAGTGACCTCTTCCAACATGTGGTCATAGGACCTCAGGGTGGGAAGCTGTGGTCGGGGCAGCTGGCGTGGGCTGGGTGAGAGAGGGCTCCTGGACAAATTACAGGATGGGGAAGGGGGTTCCCCTGGCAGAATACTTAGAAGATAAAGCATCTCAAGGACAGGGGAGAAGGTAGGGACCCTGTTTCCCTGAGCCCGAAGTGGGGCCCAAGGATTCGCCTGTCAGTTGTAGCTGTGAGACAGGCCAGATCAAGAGTCTGAGCAATGAAATATTGGCCTTTGGAAACCTTTCTGTGCATTCCAGGGCAACAGAACAAGACTCAGAAGCACCTAGGTCCAAGACTGCTTTATTAAAATTCCCACTCGAAGTTTGTTCTCCCTCCCGAGAGGAAGTTCCTCAGCTTGGACACCTCTGATACCAGGGTGCTCGTGACCCTTCCTAGCCCAGCTCTACTTCATTGAAGCCGGATGCTTGGAAAACAAGCTTCCCCAGCATAGTGCCAAACCCTTCTTCCCCATAAATTCCTGCACTGTTCCTCTCTCTGCCCTTTGGTGACGTACTAACCAATATGGAACAGGCACAAGAAGACCGTTATCCCCTGCCCCTCTTTCATAGCTACCTCGGCCCTACCGCCTTCCACTCCCCTCTGGGCCTGCTCTTCTCCTTCACTTGGGATCACTCAAGTGCCATGGGTGCCATTCCATTCCGCAGACCCTAGCTGCCTGCCTGTTGTGTGCAGCTGACATAGCTCTCCGGGTAGCAGTGGATACAGAGGTGGGTAGGACACCTGTGTCCTCTGACAGTCGAAAGACCCAACGCATGAAAGACTGTGGACTGAGAGCTAGGACTGAACGTATCCGTTAGCTATTGCTGTGTAACAAACCACCTCAAAGCTTAACAACTGAAAACAACCATTTATCATTGTTCATAAATCTACGGGTCAACTGGGTGGTTCTGTTGATCGGGGCCATATCCAGCCATGGAGTCACTCTTCCATCTGCAGTCAGCTGGTGGGCTGGGTGAAGGCTGGCTGGTCTAGGACAGCCTCCCACAGCTTGGCAGGTCTGGCAGTTGGCTAGCTACTGGTTGAAGTGCCTAGGGTGATTGGGACACATGTCTGTCCCACAGCAGGGCTAGCCCAGGCTGTTCTCACAGAGGCAGGTGGGCTTCCACGAGAGTGAGCAGGAACATGGCACCCGCCCCTCTACCACATGCTACTAGCTAAACACAGGTCCCAGGCCAGCCAGGTCTCGAGGCAGTGGGGAAATGGATCCCGCCTCTCGATGGGAAGAGCTGCAGAGCCGCCTCGTGACGGCTGTCAGGAGGGGTGGAGTATGGGGCCATTTTGTGGTTGCATACATAATGAATGTGTCAGCCATGGCCAAGAGTGAAACGCACTACCCAGAGAAGACACTGAGACAATGGGGTCAAGGAGAGAGAAGTGGGTTCTGCTTGGTTTTCTGAAATAAAAATACTTCTCAGGGTTTTTTTTTTTTTTTCTTCAGATTAGGACAATAGTATTCGACTCCCATACAATCCATCCATGAAGTCAGTCACTCTTACGTGCTGTTACTCAACTGAGCTTCCCGCCTTCTACAGGAACTACCTTGAAAACAAGAAAAAACTGAATTGTAGAAACCTGTGGGTTTAAATGCATGAAATTGCCAAGGCAGGAAGTAGAAAAACTGGACACAACGTACGTATGGAGTGGACACATTTGGGAATGTCTCCCCCAGCTCACTGGGCTCCCTCTTTCCTGACCCTTGGGGTCAGTTATGGCTCCCCGAGGCCACGTCTTCCCTGTGCAATCCCTCCCTCAACATTCCCGATCGGATGGCCGGGAGTGGACACCTGACCTGGACCAATCGGATTCTTCCCCTCTGGGTAAGAGAGAATCTGGTCAGTCCCCCGCGGTCCTGTGGGATCTTGGGGACTGAGGAGCAGGCAAGGCCAAGAGGAGAAGGAAGAGCAGGGCCAGCCCCTAGAGTGTGCAGGGACCGGGCCAGGCAAGAGAGGCTCCGCTCGGCACCGCTGGGGCCTGGCCATGAGCCCCACATCCTTAGGAAGTCTGCCTCCTTATAAGGAGGCCCCCTTTTTTTGCTTAGGATATCCCAACAAGAGGACATAGGGGCCAGAAAAATAGAAGTGTGAAGGAGTACGAGCTGGTGGAGGCCAGAGCAGCTCAGGTCCGGAGAGATGGGGGTGGCAGGGAACCAGGGGCAGTAAGCCCAGGAACTGGTCCCTGGACGGACCAAGAAGGGCCTTAGAGGACGGTGGACGAAGTCCATGAGTCCCTGCAAGGCTCAAAGATGTGGGGAGGGATCTGGCGTGAACAGCTTCCCAAAAGAAGCCAAGGGAAGGAATATATGGGGCTGGGGTCAGCTAGAAACTAGCTATCCACGTGACCCCAGCTCCAGCTTGAAGCCTACACATTTAAAACTTTCACTTGTAACACACAAACACGCAAAAAAGTGTGAGCCAAATTAAAGGCACAGAACAAGGGGGAGAAAATACAGTACAAGTCGGAAGGATATTTTCATTAATGCAGTAAACTCTCTGAACAAAGCCTCAGAGTAATACACCCCATAGGAAGGCAGGGAAGGATATTCTCCAAAAAAGAAACACAAATGGCTCAGAAGCTTTAAAAACAACAACAACAACAACAACAACCTTTGAAGTAATAATAGTAATAGAAACACATTTAAAACAAGACCCCAGCAGGGTGCCTGGGTGGCTCAGTCTCCATTAAGCTTCTGACTCTTGGTTTTGGCTCAGGTCATGATCTCAGGGTCACGAGATCGAGCCCTATGTTGGGCTTTGTGCTCTGTGCTCAGTGGGGAGTCTGTTTGAAATTCTCTCTCTCCCTCTCTCTCTGCCCCTCCTTCAGCTCACCCTCTTCCTCCCTCTCTCTCTCTCTCTCAAATAAATAAATCTTTTAAAAAAATTTAAAACAAGATCCCACTGTCCATCTACCAACTGATACTTTCCTTCAAGATAATACTTTACACCAAAGAGGGTGCAGGAAATGGCTCTCCCACACACGGAGAGCACCTCTCTGTGCGCAGTCTGGGAATAACTCAAGCCATCCGCTCAGGGTTGCAATGCTGTGGTGCCCGACCCAAGATCCCTGTGTCCTTCTGTGTTAGGGCCCGCCTCCAACGCCACACCTCAGTTTCTCTCCCGGGGGCTCTTTCCGGCCTTTAGGGTCCCCTTGCCTGCCCTCGTGGCTGACTGGAGGCGAAGGGACATTAACAGGACCTGGGAGCAGCCGGTCATGGACAGGGCGGGTGCTCAGACTTGGCGTCTCGCTAAGATGGGATAAGTCTGGCGTCTTACATCGGCCCCCAGCATCAACAGAGGGATTCAGCTCCAGCCGCCCACAGGAGAGCAGCTTCTTGGAGGCCCTCACTCCCGGTCCCACTCCCCACTCCCATGTCAGGGCTTCCTTCACTTACCAAATAAGCTACTTGCCCTGGAATCCTTGCCTCAAGGGAACCCAGGCTTAGACAACCATGGAGTTGATGGAGACAGTCACAAAGATGTGCAAAGATCTAGCCATTGGACTATTCAAGGAGGGCTCCTTTATCAAAGAAAACTAAAAGTGAATCCACCCAGAAGTCTTAGTTAAATCAATCCTGCCACATCCAAGCAATAATTACTTCTTGGCCACTAAAAATGAATTAAATGTTATAGAAAAGTGTGGGAAGGGCATTCCTGGTAGGGTGAAGTGAAAAAGAGTGTTAGAAAGTGCTAGATATATTTGGTGTAGCTGCAGTATTTTATAAGAATATACATTTGCCAAAATAGTAACTGTGGTTATTTCTGGGGAACATGATTACCCGATTTTTATTTTCTTGTGTGTGTATGTGTGCACCTCTATATTTTTCTAATTCTGTTGTAATCATGTATCATTTTTGTAATCAGCACATGTAGTTAACCAAGAAATGGTTACGACAATGAAGAGAAGAACACCTAAGAAATATAATTTATATGAATTTATTAATGTTTTCACTTGTGGGAAACATCAGAGAAAATACACTTGTGAGACACTCTACTTTGGGCTTTTCTCAAATGACATCCATTTGCCACAAGCCATGATTATCCTCTTGAACACATCACTCATCAGTTTTATACACCATTCTTTTCCCTAAAGACAGAAATCAGACACTATTCTCAAAAGATCCTGTATCATTCATTTATTTCAAGTACAAAGCACTATGCCCTGGTGTCTCCTTCTTTAAATACACAAAGTGACATCTGTGAAGCGCGAGCATTAAGTTAAGACCTGCCGTCACTGGTGAAGGAATTGATCACAACAGTCTACAGAAGCCAGACGATGATGTTAGAACCGTCCTCCCAGGTTGCGGGGTGGGGCTGGGGAGGAACTCTGAAATCTGTGCCCCCCAAAGAGGCCTCACTTCTAAGTAAGAAAAGTAATGCAAAGTGCAGGAGGGACCTGTCCGACCCTTTTGGCAAGTCATTTTAAAGATGACAAGGGTAGTCCAGATTAAAGATACCAGAGGGGGCAGAAGCGATTCAAGTGTCTCAACCTGTAGGTGTCACTAGCAATTAGATTGTTTTTATTTTTAAAAAAACACTCAGGGGTATCTCATTCAGGGCTAAGTATTTCTTTAATAAGCAGAACATGAATTTAACGTTGCCTGTGGTTGCAACTTTGGGTCATCTCATTTCCCACCTACTTCTCAGTGTGCCTTGGATTTGTGAGATTTCTTAACTCGTCCTTTCTTCCCAAAGCACTTCCGGCAGCCCAAGGCGCAACATTCATAAGTGATGAAGACAACCCCCAGCACAATGGCCAGGAGGAAGCCGATCACATCCAGAGAGTGGTACTGGTACCAGGTGAGATCGTGGGCTACAGCGCGCAGGTGTGGAGCCCCCTTGTGCCTCATCACAAACTCCACCCAGAACACAGCCAGGTCCAGGGGCTCGATGGGGCGGTCCTTGTGCAGCCCGGAGAGGTGCATGATGTTCTCCTTATAGCTAAACACAGAGACAGTTATGAGTGTCTGGAACGTTGGCCTCAGTGAACCATTCTCCCTTTAGGCTTGCTGTGGTTGGGAAGTTGCTAACCTTGGCAGAGGAAATGTGTTTCCATTATAGACAAAACACACACACACACACACACACACACACACACACACACACACACACTAAATGGTCTTTATCTCTGAAATTTAAAAAAAAAATGTAGAAAGAAAACTGGAAGCCAAAATTATAATATTAAATTATTTGAACCTTGCTTCCTATTTTCTTCTTTTCTTTTTCTTGGTATTTTTGTAGGAAATTAGATACTTTTACAGTAAGAGAAAGAAATAAAAGAAAAGGGTGTGTCAGAAATTAGGAGCAGTTTTCCTTTCACGGTTTTAAACAATCACATCTAGGGCGCCTGGGTGGCTCAGTTGGTTAAGCGACTGCCTTCGGCTCGGGTCATGGTCCTGGAGTCCTGGGATCGAGTCCCACATCGGGCTCCCTGCTCGGCGGGGAGTCTGCTTCTCCCTCTGACCCTCTTCCCTCTCGTGCTCGCTATCTCTCATTCCCTCTCTCAAATAAATAAATAAAATCTTTAAAAAAATAAAAATAAAAAAATAAACAATCACATCTAGTCAAAGCAAAAGTGACTTATAAGTGCCATCTGCAAGTGGTGACACATCACACCACCCAAGCGCTAACGTGAGCACGAGGTTGTGTCTATGCAGCCTGTTCAACAAACAGATTTTTGTTGGTTTTGGACAGTGTGGATAGCTGAATCGGAACATCCAAAGCCAAACTGGGTTAGATGACTTGACCCTTAGTGTGGATGCCCTAGAAGAAGAAAGAGAGAGAGTTGGAAGAGGGAAAAAAAGGAGAAGAAAGACCAGAGTAAGACACTCTTATTCAATCTTATTCAAGAGCAGTTATGACAACCGCTATCTTTAAACAGGCCTGTCATTATATCTGGATACATTACTATACTGTGATAATAATATTTGGCCATAAGTCTTGTTAAACATCTTCCTTTTATATAAATCTCCACTTAAACAAAATAGATTTTCTAGAACTTTCATTCATTCATCCACCATTTACTGAGCACTTGTTATGGCCTGGGTGCGTCATCTGATGTTCAAAATTTTTCCATTTGTCTTTAATTTTATGTCCCAGCTTGGCATGTTGGGAATATGGAGGTTCACGATTAGGCAGAGATGACTCCCGAGCAAATAGATGAAGTCTGCTGGTAACTTAAGCTGATTGATGAAGGTTTTTTTTTTAAACATAAGAGAACCTCTACCAAGTCATTTGTAGGTTCCAGGTAGTATATGTACCACTCAACAGAAGATCAAAATTGTACTACTAATGCGAACCTCAGGAATGAGTTTTTTCGTCAGCGCGTGGAGAGAAGTCGGGGTTTCAGTGCCTTCGACATGGGGGCAGCACGGCCTGATGCCGGCAAGCTGGACTGTCCAAAGAGGCCCATCAGGATGGAGGGATGCCACCCGCTGCTCTGGACACACTGGGCATTTACCCCGGGGGTTATGTGGACTTTTCTTTCTCATCCATCAGCACCACACACGTGAGTGCCCCATTTCTCCGTTTGTCCTTCCCCAGGCTCACCGTGCCCCCCTGTGGCATGTCTCCTCCCATCTGAACACACTCCAGTCTTTTCACACCTGTCCCTCTGATTGACATCTCTTTCAAAATGAAGCAACTATGGGTCAAGACTCCTGACACGCTCTTAGACACACACGTATGCACAGGCACCCACACATGCCCACGCACGCGTGCACACACGCACACATTAATGGTTGGATGAAGTCCACCCCTGGCCATCACTTCTTCCCATAAGGTTTTGGCCAGTCTATTATTACTAGGGAACTTGACAGCAATACGATAAATTTCATGCAGAGATCACTTGATCTGATGGCTTTTGCCTCTTGAATTGTTTTCAGAGCCACATTTGAGCAGACTGATCTTTGCTCTTATTATAAGCCTTTGTCTGTGCGATCACATGACCCATCCCCCTTATAAATCCCCATGAACAAAACTTCTCATTTGCTTCGGTGCTAGAGAGGGATGTACTTCTAAGCTCCTGGCTTGTTCTTATCTCATGGACACTATGCTTCTTGTAATGGAATATTTCTCTCTTTGCAGGAATTTACAGATCAGATGTCTACTTGGTGACTGTATTTTTTAATTAATTGAAGTTTTAATCCTACCGAGGGAAATAATATTTAAAATCATTTCGATGATAAGTTCTATAGGAGTTAAAGCATCCTTTTATAAAAATGAATAATAATAATCCCCAAATCACCTTACTTATAAATTGGGTTTTTATTCATTTGTTTTCACATTTGCATATTTGTTCTGAATGAGATGGCCAAAATACAGGCAACATTCCTCTGTACCTTCTCTCTTACCTTTTGTCATTGATGACAGTTTTTATGGCATTTGCTAAATCTTCAGAAGTCATTTCCAGGATGTTCAAGGTCACGCCAGCGCCCCGGGTCTCCATGCGCTTCGCGTTGTCCATCTGATCACCAAACAAGGGCAGCATCACCATTGGAACGCCGTTGCAAATTGCCTCATATATGCCATGGGAGCCAGAATGTGTGATAAAGGCCCGAGTTTTCGGGTGACCTGAGAAGCAAAGCAGGGAGGGACGCCAGCGGTCAAGTCACCAAGTTTCACAGTCTGACACCATCTAGGTTCTGAAAGCGTTCTGAGGACTCAGTGCCATCCACATGTGGCTCCTGCAGAAGTCTGCAGAGGAAAATGTGGGTTGAGATGCCCCACTGGATAAAAAAGCAATGTGGAATACTTTGGCCATAATATTTCCCAGCTAAACAATCCTTTAGAACAGCCCAGCGTGAGCCACTTCCCTAATTTCACTTGGGTTTGACCAACACACCCAATCCTGCCCACATACCAAGCAGATCATTCTGGGGCAGCCACTTGACAAGGATTGTGTTCTTCGCGAGATTTGGGGGTGGAGTGCCAGTATACCGCCACAGGACCTTGCAGAGACAAGAACAGCGTTTAAGGAACACAATGATTCAAAAACATCTGCCATTGTAGCCACAATGTGGAGTCCTCTGAATGAACATAACCTTGGCAAGGGTGGGAGGTGTCAGGACTGGGAAGGCTTTGGGGACTGGTAACATTCTGTGTATTTGTGCAAATTCATCAAGTTATACAGTTACAACTTTTGCACTTTTCTGCACTTCAAAGGGAATTTACTTAATAAAGTGAGTGGATGTAGAATTAGAGAAGCAGAAATATAAGAAATGAATCCAGTGTCCTGACCAGCAGCTTTTTGTGGAAATACTCTTGCATAACATGAAGAAACACTATCCTGTACATTACCCTGTCTACTTTATCTTTAAAATAAATTCTCCTTGGGGCCCCTGGCTGGCTTAATCAGTGGAGCATGCCACTCTTGATCTCAGGGTTGTGTGTTCGAGACCCAGGTTGGATACAGAGATTACTTAAAAAAATAAAATCCTTACAAATAAATTAGTTAATAAAATAAAATAAAATAAATTTTCCTTAGTACACTTTTGAGTTTCTTAGAGAAAATGAGACCTCCATGTCACGCAGACCGTGGTTTAACAGAGTAGTTAAGAGTGACATGGCAAAGAGAACTTTGGATTAATAATTGAGAAGTTGCAGGGAAACCCAAACCAAAAGTCCAACTCATAGGATTAACATCGATGCTAGAAGTCTGGGCTTCCAACTCTTGGGAAGATAGAATGGTATGGAATCTTCTTACTGTCTGAGATATTTTGCCCAAAGCATCAGCAATTTCCATAGCTTTCTTCTCAGGAATCTCTGAGACCATGGAGCCCAAAGAGAAAACCACAATTCCATGTTCTCCGGAAGCATTAACATAGGTTTCAAATTCCTAGAACCACAAGAGAAATTTCCAGTTAACTTTTTTCTCACCTTCTTCGGGAACTGCATACATTCAGCTATGAATCAGATGTCTTCATCTTAACAAGTGATTAAAGGTGTGTGTGTGTGTGTGTGTGTGTGTGTGTGTGTGTGTGTTAGAGATACAAAATATTAACGCACATTACAGCCTTCCTCCCTCCTCCCCTTACTCCCTTCCAAAGGAGGAAGGCTTCTTGCATATTGGGTTGTCTCCTGGGTTCTCCTCTTCTTCTTTGAGATGCAGAATCCAGGTAGTATGCTAATTTCCCGAAGGAAAAACAATCAGAGATAAGACCAGATCCACTTCCCAGGGGCTTCAAGCAGCTGGAAGGGTCTTGGGAGAAAACAGGCTTTCAGGAAGGGAACTAAAGGAGAGAGCAGAAGGCAGTACGGAAGGAGGAGGGAAAGGTGAATGAGCACCACAGAGAAGGGAGAGAGCCATTTAGCAGATCAGTGACGGGAGACCTTGGGAGAGAGGAAAGCTGTCCGAGGAGGATTTCAGAAAGCTTTCTGCAGACTCTAAAACTCCTGCACCGCCCCTTTGTGAAAATCTACAGTAAAGATGTGTATTATTTTCCAAGGCTTCTGGAATATTCCTTTTATGTTAAAAGAATGAATGGAGCCAAAGCAGAAAGCTGCAAATAGTGTTGAAGATGAGGCTCGTGGTTAAGAAAAAACCTCAAATAGCCAGGACAGCCTGTAACAATTCTTGCTTCCCCACAGCCTACAGCAGTCTTCCATGTGGCAGCCAATACATTGGGGTGATTAGGGATCATATTCATGTCAACTCCGTGCTGAAACTTAACCAGTCAACCAGGCAATTTCCTACCTTTCCTGGAGAAGAGCTTTCTGAAGAGTCTAAGTCAACTTTCCTACCTTAGCAAGAACATATAGAAAGATACCTGAATCTTTGTTTGCTGGCTTCATAATGTACTGTAAAAAGCAAAATATTTCTCTCTAGATATGAGAGGTGCAAAATGGGACAGAAAACCTTGCCAAGGGTGCACCAGAATCTGAGACCCTTCTGCAGAGTTCAGAGAGGGTCAAGGGCATGTGAGCAAACCCTGAGTACCAGCCACCAGTGGGAAGGATAAACAAGCAGTGAGTCTCAACCCACCTAGCACATGACCTCCGCAGAGCGTTCCTGTCCCATTCCAGAAGCTGATCCCTTCTAGCAATATATCCATCACCATCATCCGAGGAAGAACTGCAACTCTAAGGCTGCTCCGACTCCTCCAACCAAGACCACCATTGGGCATTACAGGCTTGGCTACATAAGGACGAAACTCAAGACAAAGCAATGGGACTTGTTTCTGAAGAAACTTCCGCGCCAGATGACCCAAGGAATAAGGAATGAACTGTGAGTGGTTTTCTAGTCAATAATGAAACTTAAAACTACTAGAAAATGGACAATCCATGGTTCCCTTGGATGAAGCAGGCGGATGGGATCTTCAGAAGTGTCTGCATGTATAAGGGTGAGAGACAGTGATGGCTGGGACCCCACTAGTAAGTACAGATCACAGATTATGACCTCTCAAGCCTCTACCCCTAAAGTAACAAGGAATAGACTTTAGAGATGAATGTCAGACAAAAGCTCTGAGAGGAAGCAACAAAAAATGATCCAATCAGAAGAAGAGCAGCATTAAGGGGAAAGAAGCCCCCAGACTCAACCCTCAGCAATAATCTCAGCCTAGCCTGATCTGGCCCCAACCTTCAAATGCCAACTCCAGTGTGCTGTGGTCTTCAGGAAACATATACACACTTGGGCATACACACATGCACACACACAGGCACACACCTGCATACACACGTGTGGGGGGGCACGCACACACACAGAGTGGCAATTCCACATAAAGGAAATAGAGTAGGTGCGAGTGTGGCAATTTTCCCCCAACTGTAGGTTTTCATGATCTAATGAACTCCCCTAGAGTCTTCCAAATGGTTTTATGTTTCCCAAGAACGCCAAGGACATTAATGAGACTGTGTGATGTGCTGGGGTTTGCCCAGAACTGAGGGGTTTCCTGAGATATGGGACTTTCAGTTCTGTTCAAACCAGAACCCTGGCCACCCTGAGTGTGACATGGAAAGCATTTCCCACAGGGCTCAGCACGTGTGATTTTAAGAGACTTCTTTCAGGTTCGGTTCAGAGCGTGACAAATAAAGCCCAAACACTGCAGCCCCCCTCAGGGGGGAGGCCCCAGTCTGGTCCACCCCCACCAGCTCTCTTCAAGGCCTCAGGCTCCTAGCAGGTGTGTGCCAGCCTTCTCCACTGGGCTCATCTGAAAGGTCAGGGAGGCCAGCATCATCTTCCCCACCACCACGCTGCATTTCTGGTCTATGACAAAAACATCCTAAGGACGGTTTTCCTGAAGTCCTTCCTCCCCTGGATTGCACCACATCCTTCTTTCCTCGGAAGGAAGGCTCATCTCCAAGTACCTTTTGAGCTCCTTTTTCTGAGTGAAGGTAAACAGATCACCTCACTTCCTAGGACCTTCCCTCCTTTATGAAACCCACTCTTACTTTCACCATATCTACAAAGGGCCATGTCTGATTTCCCCTCCTTGCACACTCTCCCACACCCACTCGGCACCCAGCAGGGTGTGATTATCATAAAATGGAACCCACAGGTCCATAAACACCCAAAGGTACATAGCAAGACTGAAGTTTAAATGTCACAGAGGTTCATCTACAGATCACAGAAGGGCAAACTGCAGAGATTGTGTTATTGCGACCAATACCTCTTCGGGGCCAGCTCTTCTGGAATTCAGCAATGGTGAGGTCCACACTCTACTTGGCAAAACTTCCCCAAATCTGGCCCTGACTTCACAGACTCTAGAGTGGCCAAAGAGGGAAGTGACAGGTTAACGAAAATAACCCTCGACTGCCCCACCTCTTACCCCTTCCAAAAAGGATGAGGCCCCCTCCGACGTGAAAGCACTTGCCCACCCTGTCGATGACTTTGACACAGGTCCTAACTTTTGCTGAGAGTTTAGTATTTTGAGCTCCAGGCTTCTATTAGATTTTCTCTTCCCAAATGTCATCTGTTTCTCAAAATGCTCGGTAAGCACTTAGCATGTTGGAAAACTGTTGCTTTATCACTACGGATTCAGAGCCACGGACAAAGACTGCCAGCTTCCCCGCTCACCAGTGTTTCTTCTCCTTGCCATTGTCAAGTCTCTGTTCTCACTGACCTTCTGTTTGGCTGTTTCCCTCAGACCCAACATGTCTGGATGGATATCATCTCTGAATCCCCACATGTCCCCAAAGATGGTCTCTCACCCTGAGTGGGGAAGGACATCTTAGAATCCTTGAGCTTTGTTCTTAATACTGTCCTACTATCTTTTATCTGCCAGGCATCCCAGACATGCCCAACACCAGGTGTGCCTTCCACATGGACTCTCTTTATCAGCTAAACGTTGTTATCTCTATTCTTGAAGTTCAGGACTTTGACCAAGAGCACTGGGACCAGGATGATTTCCACTAGAGTAATGGAAGCCTAGAAAAGCATTCTTTAATTAACCAAGGGGGAAAAAGAAAATAAACAGCCACTTGCCAAGAAAAGGGATAATGACCAAGTAAAATAAAAATAAACTGGTAAAGTTAGAATCAAATCTAGCAATTGTTAAATTAAGTGCAAACAGGCAAAAGTTTTCCAACCAGGTTAAAAATATCAGCTCCGTGTTGTTTAAAAAAAAAAGAAAAAATCTTGAAGACAAAGGGGTACCAAAGAGGCACTAGGGAAAGGTAAACAAGATAATACAGAAATGGTAATATTAGTATCAAAAAAAGTGGAATTTCAAATTAAAAATACTAAGTAAGACAAAGAGGGTTGCCATCCGGTACAACTTACAGAGACATTCTCACACCAAGGCTTGCTTGCACCAAACAAAGCTGCAAACAGCACATAATCATTACAGCTCAGCACTTAGACAAATTTCAGGCAAAGAAAATATATCGATAAATGATGACAAAACTATGATATTGAGAAAGATGGTAGATAAAGTCCTGTAGCCCCTCCTAGTAAACATCCTAAAGTAAAGAAAGAAATTACCTAAATAAATAAAGACTATTTGCCAAAAAACAATGGCAAACATGATATAAAATGATGAAATGAAAATCAATCTTCATTATAATCAGGAGCAAGACAAGAATCCTTGCGATTGCCAAAATTATTCAACTGTTTTTAAACATTCTAGTGAATTCAATAAGACCAATACCTGGCATAGAATTCAGAACAGAAGAAACCATATTTTATTTACGATAAAAGTCTGCATGCTAGTTTTTTTTAATGATGAAATCAATATTTTGATTAGGCTCAATTTTGATTTGGGGCTGAATAGTGAGTAGATAACCAGCTACAAACAGAAATGGAAAAACTATCACATTCACAGGAGTGACCAAAAAAAAAAAAAAAGTGTAAAATACTTAAGAAAAACTGAACAAGAAAGGAACAGAACAAATATGAAGAAAACTACAAAGAGCTTGATCCTTGGTAAGGTGATATTTGAAGTAACAACAAGAGCAAGGCCCTGGAATATAAACTTCAGTGTTCTTCCTAGGGAACAAGATTACGTGGTTAACAGAATACAGGAGGGTTGTGGAATGGAGGGGAGTGGGGGGTTGGGGTAACTGGGTGATGGGCATTAAGGAGGGCACGTGATCTGATGAGAGCACTGGGTGTTATACACAACTAATGAATCATTGAACATTACATCAAAAACTAATGATGTACTATATGTTGGCTAATTGAATTTCAATTTTAAAAAAATCACCTAAGAAAAAAGAAAAAAAAAAAGCACATATGTTTTATGTAATTGTAGGAGTATAAAGAACGGGGGGAGATTACTGCCTATCTGGTGACTAGTCCTCAGTTCATACCCGTTCGTGGTTTTCATTCATTCCTTTAACAAACTTTTAGCAAGTGCTAATTATATGCCCAAGATGCTGATATTTACGAGACACCAACCACGTGCAAACCCATTGCCAGGTGTTAAGGGCATGGTAACGGGCAGCAGTGGTCCCTGCCCCCACATGTATGGAAGAGATGATCAATAAACAATTATCTAAATGAGATGATCACAGTACTTGATGTGCTATGAAGGAAAGAGCATAGGATCCTATCTTAGAGAGAAGGACTCCCTGAAGAAGTGCCATTACAGCTGACCTAAAAAACAAGAAGACAGCCACCTCACAAATTCAGGCACAGCATCCCAGAAGGACAGAACATCATGTTCAAGGGTCCTGAACAGTGAAAGATTTTGGAATGTCCCAGGAATAGAAAGAAGGCCAGTGTAATGGAGGATACCCACACAGATTTATAAGCAAGCCCTTCTATTTCAAGTGGAATTTTCGTTTATGCATGCACATCCCCAAAGTTTTACATTTCAAAGTAAAGGCGAAACACAATTGTTTTCACTTGGATCCTATATAATGATGCCAAAAATATTCCTCTTTAATTCCACTCTAACTTAGACATGCTGACTAGCTCTCTTTTCTTTGATCTGTGATGTGACCCTTGGTTTGGTAATATTTCACCTTTTCCTATATATGAAAGAATTATTACTGGTTTTCTATAACATGCGGTTTTCTCATTTTCCTTTCCAAAAAATCAACACCATCTCCTTCTTTCTTAACCAGACCACCCCATCAGACATATCCTTCTCCAACAGGCCATGGGGTGTCAGAATCTCACTGGTGGGAGATCTGAGGAGGTCACCAGATCGCTCTTCACATTATGGGGGAGGAATCAGAGCCCCACAGAGGGAATCTTGTCACGCAGCAATGGGGTGGAGGCATCCACACAGCACCGGATTTCTCACGTGGTGTTTTTTTTTCTGCCATCCATAGTTTCTCCACGCCATGACAATGACATGATCATTTAGGATGTGAATCACGTTCGAGTCACTCTGGGAATAAGATTCAGGGCTCTCCGAGGGTGATGACAGTCCCTTAGTAGTAGCCAGACTCAGCACCTGCAAAGTGCCTGGGCCTACCCGTTAATCCTCAACCAGTACTTGAAAAATAAATGAATGCCCACTGAAATGTCACCTCCTTGGAAAATTCTTCCCAACCCCTCATCTGACAGAGGTTCTCCTGTTATTCTCTATCACCTCCGTTGAGACTGGAAGAGGATGTGAATGCTACTTTTTTGCATACCTCAAATTCTGTATGGGAAACAATTCATTCATAAGCATTGCAGAGAATGAAACTCAGGACCTTTCTGCCCAGTGCCAGAATCTGATTGTACGGTATTTACTTATTAGAAGAGAAGGGACCACAGGAGCGAGCTTCCTATCAGAATATTTAGCAACTGGATCTTTAACCAGAAACATAACGGCGACTTTTGCCATCAGGACCCATAGATGTCAAAGAATTGCTTCAGCAGTCTTGACCCTTGTGTGTCTGACCCAATCCAGGGCAAGGTGCATGCAAATCTGTGTTCTCTGCAAGGATCCCTACACTCATTGCTCTGTGCTTATGACAATTAGCCTTTGTCGCAGCTAATTGATTACTGTTCAGTGGAGCACACAGAAGAAAATGCCCAAAGTATACTTTCCTAAAGTGTCCTATACAAAGAAATAACCCAGAAGAGGATGCCTAAGACAGATATAAATTACAACCCAGACCCGGGAGATTTGTAAGGTAGAAACTAGTGAAAGAGGGCATTTGAGACTATTTCAGCATGCTCATTCAGCATATATTGGAGGCAAGTTCATCCATCCAAAGTACTTGCAAGGATATGGACTTGTAAAGTTCCCCCTCAAATACACACCTTGGACAGTGGGCTTTTGCTGGCACAGTTGATCCCACCAACAAAAACCATGTTGGGCATGATGGGCCTGGAGTAATCCTTGACAAAGTCACTTCTGAGAAGCCAGAGAGATGCAGAGCCCATCAGGTCCTGGACAGTCATATCTTTCTGAAGGACTTCAGAGGCAAGTGGTCCGTACGGGGAATAAACCACATTGCACAGAAAGCTCTCTGACAAGAAAATGAGCATGTTCTTCACCCGCGGTAGGAAGGTCATGTGATCTGAGTTAAGGGACAGAGCCCTGGGCACATAGGATGGTGGGTTGGGACACAGGGTACCTTGAAAATCTAGGCCACACGGCAGCGCATTCAAGAAGAACACGGCAGGCAGACCCAGGTACAGGGCCACGATGGGGCCACAAGGGAGGAAAGGGTCTGTCAACACGGCATCGAAGCTGCTTTCCACCAGCGAGGCCATTAGCTCCTTGTTGTGCAGTAAGTGGGAGCAGGCAGACAAAAGCAGGGCAGAGTCCTCCTTGACTTTCTTATACATTTTGACCACACGCTGCAGCAAAGGCTCATTCTCAAAAACACCGTGCCCAAGTCTGATAAAAGCCGCTTCCACGTCCTCCCTTCGGAATGGCACAGGGTACCTCTTCAAGGTGTATAATGCTCCTTCTTTGATGTGCACGGAGGCCTCGTGAGCTAGGACCACTATGTCATGTCCCCTCTGGTGCAGCTGCTGGACGATCCCGAGCATGCTCAGCCAATGGCTGCCATCCACCGGGACCAACAACAGCTTCCCACCCTGGGACACAGTGGGGTTCAGTGCGCACAGCAGCAGACCTAGGACAAGCGGACGTAGACCCTGGGACCCTGCCGCCATGGTTCCCCTGCCTTTGCCACCAAGACTCTCTCCTGCCAAAATCTGCCTTCTCCTACTTTCCTGTCGCAAGAATCAATCTATACTCAAAGTTAATGGTTGATTGTATCACATGATTATAGCTGGTCAGTCAGCTGAAAATAGCAGGAAGTTTACCTTTAGAGCTAACGAGGGCAGAGCTTTACTAGGTTTCTTTTCTTTTCCCCAAGATTTTTAGTTTTTATTTATTTACTCAAGTTTTTCTTTTATTTCCAGTTAGGTTAACATACCGTGTAATATTGGTTTCAGGTGTACAATTCAACACTTCCATCCATCACCCGGTGCTCATCCCGACAAGCGTACTAGCTTTCTTGATAGGCAGCAACAGTTTAACTGGCTGGAATTCTTTACCAACCACTCAAATCACATTCTTGAGGGGCCAGAGAAGGGAGAGCAGCTCCAGCACCTTTGAATGCATTAAATGAGTATTTCCATGGACCAAGAGGGGAGAAAAAGGTTATGTGGTGACAAATTAGACTTCCTTTTTAGGAATGAAATAGAAAGCAGAATATGCCTTTTAGAAAGAGAAGAGCATGACACTGCAAGCCTACTTTTGGCCCATAGCAGTCTTGCAGGATGTCCTTCCCACGGTCACTCAGGGTCTTGCCCAACCCATCATGATTTGGATGCATTCATCCAACAAAATACTTATTTAGTCCTACATGGCACCGGGCCTAGGGAGTGCCCACAGAGACCACCACAAATGAGTCTCCCTCTTCCCCAGAACTCGGGCTCCATCAGAAGAGACAGACTGACAATGAAAGTAGATAAACAGGCACGTCAGAGGTTGGGAAGCATGTCAAGAAGGAGACGGATGCTGCTGGCTAGTGAATGGCAGGAAGGGAAGCCCACTCGCGCATACATGCGCAGAAGGCCTTTCTCAGGACAGACGTGCCTTCGCTCAGACAGGCAGCAGTGAGAGCAGACACTCTGAGAAATTCTGACGACCCGGTTGAAGCAAACTGGAAAGGTGAACAAAACCAGTAAGAACATATATGTATGGAGTATGTACTAGGTATCAAGTACGGGGCTAAGCACTTTACAACACATCTTACGTAATCCCCTAAAAGTATCCCTTAAAGGCAGATACTATTATTCCCATTTTACGAAGGAAGACACTGAGGCTCAGAGCGATAATACGACCAACCAGAGTCCTGCATTTACTAAGTGACAGAGCTGAGACGCAGGCCCTGAGCGGCAGAGCGTGGAGACCCTGCTCTTAACCACAACTCCCCGTGGCCACTATCCAGATCTTAGGGCCAGGCTGGAAATTTACAGCCAACTAGGAGCCAGAAGTAAAGCGGTGATCCCCACGGTCACTACCCAATCGAAATAAATGGGGAGAAGGCAGATGTGCTCACACAGTAATACCCAGCACTAGCTGGTGCCCCAAAAGCTCCAGGGTAGGGTCAGGGAGCAAGCATGGTAGTCGCCAACAGAAATGCCCTTCCCGAAGAAAAGGCAAATCTGAGTGCAGACAGAACTGATCATCTCACCCTGTCCTTTGGGGATCTGTTGCTGTATGTTACAATCCCAGGATGGGAGTGCAGATCTCAATATTTTGACTGTGGACATCACTAGCCACCCATATTCAGGGACCTGATAGGAAGGTCACGGAGAAACTGCTAACTCTTAAAATTGTGATGTACTGTGGGGCATATTCACAGGGACTCCTCCATTCTGGTACTTAGAACAGGTACTTAGAGTACCATACTCCATACATATCCCTTTTCCCTATACATCCTTCCTCCACAGATCTCCAGGCTCACATACGCTTATATATGGGTGCACGCGTACACACATGCTCAAACACACATGCACTCTGAAGCTCCCCACCCACACAGAGCCCCACCCCACCCCAAGCACTTCCCCTTCTCCTGGGCTAAGGTTCTAGGTGGCTAGAAAAGAGGCAGCAAGGCTTCAACCCATTGGTGTGCCCCTATCCGCAATTCTGAAATTCATAGTCCAGTTTAAACATTAGGGGCAATAATTCTTCTCAACTCTCGATGTCGTAAGAGTTCACGTGTAAATTATCCATAGCAAAAGAGCTGTAAACACACAGTCACCATTATAATGATTTTATGACTTTTCTGCATCACACAGAGCCTCAGGACTTTTTGAGGCTTCTGTGTACCTGGATGGTTTGGGGACATGACTCTGCCCTTACAAGCAGGGTTTCAGCCTTGGAATCACTCACTTGGGTGCCAGTCCATGGTTTTGCAGACAGTAAGCACTCAGTAAATGTTTTTGTATAGATGTGACCCTTCCCTCCTTCAGTCTAGGCCCCATATCCGAGCAAGCAAGTGCTGAATCCACTGTCTCTGAGACCCAGCTGCCATAGTCCTGTGTGGGGGCCCCCAACCCCTATCTACCCTTTCTGAGTCCCAGCATTCAGCTGCTCCCTGCACTGCCCCACCCCACCACCATCCCTGAAACCTTGGTCAACAGCTTCCTAGGATCCAGGATAAAATTTAGACTCTTCAGCCTTGCCCTCAAAATTCCCTGGAATGGACCTTCAGCCCACCTGTCCAAGCTCATTCCTCCTCTCCAGCCCTTTCACCTGACCCCTCCCCCTCTGCCCCTTTCCCTCCACTCATTCTGGATCACTTGACCTTCCCCAAACAGGCTTTTCCCACATGGCTTTGTTCACACTAGACTCTACTCTCAATCCACTTCCTACTGCTGTTTATTGCATGACTATAAAGCGCCAGCTCCAGGATCGTACTCGGCCCCTCAAGGTGACATGAAGTTTGTCCTGGTGACATAGAGTGCCTCATTGGATCTACTACCCTTCATGATGAAATATTAGAGTTCACTGGTTAATCATTTTCCTCTTAGAACTAAGTGACCTTTATTGGTATTGCCTTGCCATTTATCAAAGCAAAAAAAATATAGTGTCAGAGAATAAGGAGAAAGTAGGGAGAGGTCAAATGTCCAAAAATGCCAAAAAGAAAGTCATGGTCATGGTATAGCAGTTTTAGTGGAAATAATTACTGCAGCAACGTTGACCAACAGCACTACAAGCATGGCCGGCAAGTTTTAATCGTTTTGATAAACTAGACCAGGAGCTCTCAAACTATGGGCCAGGACACCCTGGGGATACCCAAGAATTTTTTAGGGGAATTTTGCAAAGTCAAACTATTTCCATAATGATATTTGGCTTTTTCACTCACATGCTCCCTTAAGGGTACAGTGGAGTTTCTGCGTGGCCACATCACCCGTGATATAGCCATAGATTGGCTGCAGAAGCCGATGGAAGAGTCCCCTTCTCTTCTTTAAAACCAGAGAAACGTGGAAGATGTAGTATGATGCCCCTCTTCACTAATATTTTCGCTTTGAAAAAGTTATTTGGGGGCGCCAGGGTGGCTCAGTCAGTTAAGCACAGGACTCTTGATTTCGGTTGGGGTCATGACCTCCAGGTCCTGAGATGAAGCCCCACGCAGTCTCTGCGATGAGAGCGGAGTCAGCTTGGGGATTCTTTCCCTCCCCCTCCCCCTCTGCCCCTCCCCCACCCTCGCGCAAGCGCATGCGTGCTCTCGCTCTCTCTAAAATCTTTTTTAAAAAGTGATTTTCCCATAAAAATATGATTTATGTTACCATATAAGGTTTCATTGCTATTAAATTCACTAACGAGTTTTTTCCATTGCTTTAATTTCTAATGGGGTAGGTGTCGATAGATACAACCTACATTAAAAAAAAGCAAAAGGGTCCTGGAGACAAAAAACCAGAGAACTGCTGTTCTGGACAAATGATGCGGCTGTCCTTGAGCACGAGGTCAGACGAAACGCGCCCCCATCACTCTACGCCCACAGGCGAGGAGAAGCCTGACAGAAAGCCCACGTCGGCACAATCCTTCGCCCCGGCCGCCACAGCCCCAGACCGCCTTCCTCCCGCTAACTTCCTCTTCTTCCTGCGCCGGCAGGGTGGGGGCGGGGGGGGGGGCGATTTGGAGACTCCAGCTCGCTTTGGGGGCGGGGGGGCGGGGCCTCAATGGGCGGGGCGTCCGCGCCAGGGCGAGACACGCCACACAGGCCCTCACGGAAGGGCGGCAAGCCGCGCCCCCCACCCCGCAGTGCATTCTGGGATGCCGTCTCGACCAATGAGATGCGGGCTCCGTCACAAGGGCGCCTCTTCTGGACGGCGTGGGCTCGCGGGGCGCTCGGGCCCGTGCCCCGGGGGCAGCCAGCGCCGCCCGTCGTCGTGCCAGTGGCCCGCGGGTCGTGTCGTGCTGGGCCTTCCGACATGGTGGACTACTACGAGGTGCTGGGCGTGCCCCGCCAGGCGACGCCCGAGGCCATCAAGAAAGCATACCGCAAGCTGGCGCTCAAGTGGCACCCCGACAAAAACCCTGAGAACAAGGCGGCGGCGGAGAGGCGGTTCAAGCAAGTGGCCCAGGCCTACGAGGTCTTGTCCGACGCCAGAAAGAGGGACGTCTACGACCGGTATGGCGAGGCGGGAGTGGGGGAGGGCGGCGGCGGCGGCGGCGGGCCCTGCCGCGACCCGTTCGGGTACGTCTTCACCTTCCGCGACCCGGCTGAGGTCTTCAGGGAGTTCTTCCGGGGCCGCGACCCATTTTCGTTCGACTTCTTCGGAGACCCGCCGGAGAACATCGTGGGCGGTCGGAGGAGCTCCCGGGGAATCAGAAGCGGAGGAACCGCGCCCTTCTTCTCGGCCTTCAGTGAATTTCCAGCCTTTGGGGGTGGTTTTTCTTCTTTTGACACAGGATTCAGTTCCTTTGGTTCCCTGGGGAGCGGAGGCCTTTCTTCCTTCGCCGTGTCTTGTGGAAGGGGTGGGTCCCGCAACTTCCGGTCCGTGGCGACTTCCGCCGACATCGTCAGTGGCAAAAACATCACCACCAAGAGAATCGTTGAGAATGGCCAAGAAAGAGTGGAGGTGGAAGAAGACGGAGAGCTGAAGTCCCTGACGATAAATGGCCAAGAGCAGCTGCTGCGCGTCGACACCGAGTAGTTCCAGGCCACGTTTGATTTAGAGCACCCTGTGAGGAATGGACTTTCTTTTCTTTTCTTTTCTTTTTCTTTTTTTTTTTTGAGGCTTACAAGGGCACTCTACTTTCAGAACAACTGTTCTCAGGAATTTATAAACAGTCATATGCCAGTGCCTCTTTGTTGTTATTGTTGGGACTGCACGAATGGGACCTCTGTTTGTCTTTAAAACTGTTGTAAATAGCTCTATGCACTTTGCTATTTATTAAACATAATCCCGAAGCGGTGATTATTTCTTAGTACTAGGACAAAATGTTCCAGCACCTTGAACCTTGCCTTTCCATTTTGTTTTGAAATGTCAGCCAGGTAGTTTTCTCTGAAGTTAACGTTGCCAAGATAAATCGTTTTACTTCAGTTTTTTTCAACACATAACAGTAAAAGATGTGAATACACCAATACCTCTGGCTTAAGGATGGTTTTTAGTCCCACATAAATGCTGGTGACTAGTGAGAGTTCTCCGTTTCAATATAATAAGCCTAGGCTTTTTAAAAAACGTAAACCTGGCAAAGTGGATGTATTCGTTTCCTATGGCTACTGTAACAGATTACCACAAATTTGGTGGCTTAAGACAACGCAGATTTATTCTCTTAAAGATCTGGAGGTCAGAAGTCTGAAGTCCGTTTCGGGGGACTGAAGGCAGTGTAAGCAGGAACACGTTCCCTCCAGAGGCTTGAGCAAAATGCTTAAGTGCATTACAGTTGTATGATTAGTTAAGAGCATCCTGTGGACTTTATTCAGGTCACTTAAGCAATAAAAAAAAAGAACCAGTGGTAGTGATAACTCAAAGCCTTAATACAAATCTGATTGCTAGCCTGTACCCAACTTGGTTCTACAACTATGATTGATGAAAATGTGGAAAGTGTTTCTGTGAGGCTACACAAAACTATCCCATTGCTGCGTGCAGGATGTATCTCATTTCAAATTAGGTTGACAAAAGCCAAGAATATTGGAAAGCTTGGAGTACAGTTTGGGTGAGGCAGCATACATCTGAGAGGGTACATCTCTGTTGTGCACAGTTTATACCCCCAGTGAAAACCGTTTTGGGCATGGTTGCCTTGGGATAGTCCATCACAAATTGTGCCATCCCCTTTGGTCATGTCTAAGGAAAACTTTGCATAAGGCATGGGAGCAAAAAGGCAACTGAACTAGACCGACTAAAAGTGCAGCATATCCTTTCCAGGAAGGTCGTGTGACTTGAGCACAACCAGGAATATATGAAATCGAATTTGATGCCTGTAAAGTCCAATTCCCATGGAATGGCATGCAAACAGTTATGCAGCAGGAACATAGGATTCAGCCACTACTGTCCCACGAGGGCACACAGTCTGTTAAAACTACATCAAATGGTCACTGAGGTACCCAGGCAGTGCTTCTCACCCACTAATTGTACAAGAAGTATCAGAATAACACAGAGTACCGGGGCTTTTAAAAAATCAGCTCATTTGCTTGCTAGGCTAGGGAACTCAGACCAGTGAAGATATTCATAGTTGTTGGTGGGGAGGGGAGGAGGAGCAGGGAGAGAAGGGATGTCAAGAGTTTTGAAGTGATAAGAAAAGCGGGTGCACAATTTCATGGTGGTTATGCTAATTAAGGGTTAAAAATCACCACTCTGTATGGGACAGAATAAGTGCATTTGTGTCTATACAGTTGGTTAACATAAGCCTCCATTGGTCAGGAAAGCCTTCAAGTTGGATCCAGTCATGGATCTTAACAGCTCTAGTGGAAGCAACCTACAAGTCAATGGATGAATATATAGGCAAATGCGGTCAATTCATTCAATGGAATATTATTCAGCCTTTAAAAGTAAGGAAACTCTGGCATATGCTGCAACATGAACGAGCCTTGAGGACATTAGGCTAAGTGAAATAAGTCAGTCGAAAAAAGACAAATACTCTATGATTCCATTTATATAAGGTACCTAGAGTGGTCAAGTTAGGGAAGACAGTAGATTGCAGGTTGCCAGGGGTTTTAACAGCATTTGTTGAAACAAACAGCATTCAGTTAGAGATCTGGATTAGTGCTGCTAAGTGGGAAGTTTCTCTTTGGCAGAAATATAAAAGCATTTTCTCTAAAGAATTTTCAAAACTGAAAGCTGCTTTTAAAAAATGTCTTGGCTCCAAAATTACAGTCCTGTATATCAGTATTCCTCATTTATGGAATAGCTTGAGTAGGCTTTCAGAGCAGAGAAAACAGCACTTTCTCTGGTGCAAAGATGACCATCTGGAGGACCCTGCAGTGGACTATTTCCAAGGACTCACTACCAGCCCCTTCCCATGGAACACACCAGTTAAATAAGGAAGCTACACGTGACTACTAAGCACTTGAAATGTGGCCAGTCCAAATTGAGATATGCTGTAAGTATAAAATACGTATCAGATTTTGAAGACTTAGTATGAAAGCAAAAGAATGTAAAATATCTCAATAATTTTATATTGAGTATATGTTGAAAGTATGTTTAGATATATTTGATTAAATAAGATATAATTAATTTTAGCCCTCTTTTTGCCTTTTTTGTAACATGTCTACTAATTTTTTTAATTATATATATGGCCTGCATTATACTTCCATTGGGCAGTTCTGTACTAGACCACAAAGAAAACCTATCAAATTATTTAACGTAGGGATTTCATAAGAAACATTCTCTGATTAAAATCTAAAATAATTAGAAAAAAAATAAGAGAGAGATAGCTAAAATAAATTTTAACTATGTGGGAATAAACAGGTTTGAAGATAGCCATGGACCTAAAGAAATCCAAACCAGAAAATTAAATGACCAAAAACAAAACAAAGAGAAAAAAAATGATTAATGCCAAAACCTAGGAGACATAGAAAATGTTCTATGAACTTCAATGTTTCATTATTAAGAAAACTCTTACAGAAAGGAACTTAATGCTTACCTAAAGAATATTAGAAAAATAACTATAAAATAAACCAAAAGACACAAGAATGACCATCATTAATAAAAAGCAAGCTGGGATTAATGAAATAGAAAACAAAAATAGTAAAAAGAATAAGCAATTCCCAAAATTATTTCTTTGAGAAAACCAATAAAATAATTTCACCCATCATAAAAAAAATTTTTTAAGTAGACTCCATGCCCAGCGTGGAGCCCAACGTGAGGCTTCAATTCACGATCCTGATACCAAGACTTAGCCGAAATCAAGAGTCACATGCTTAACTGACTGAGCCACCCAGGTGCCCCTCACCCATCATAAATCTTAAAGGAGAAAGAAAAGGAGCAAAAATATGAAAGACTTAGACTCCAATCTTTCATACTTGGAGAAAATTTCCATAAACTACTTAAAGAAGTCACATTTAAGGGTAAACCAAACCAAATAAATAAGGGTGACAAGATCTCAAGGTAAAAAAGAATTTAGTGGAACAAAAGCAATAATGGTATGCTTATCACCTATAATGCTTGAGAATTTCAATATAAATGATCTCTCGTGTACCCAATAAATTTGGCACAAACATATCTAAAGGTCTTCAGATGACATACCTTGTCCTGCTGGGCACTTTTTAAATAATGATAATAGAAAATACTTATTGTGTACTCATTGTGACAATAGTGAGGTCAGAATAGTTAGGTCACTTGCTCACCTGCCCATTCAGCTAGAAAAATGGGAGAATTTGAACCAGTGCAGTTAACTCCAGAGAATATATTCACATAGGAAAACTAAAAGATGCAGCCACTCTGGAAAACAGTATGGAGTTTCCTCAAAAAGTTAAAAACAAATAAATAAATAAATAAATAAATAATAAGAAAATTTTTAAAAAGTTAAAAATAGAACAACCTTACAATCCAGCAATCGCACTACTATGTACCTAAAGAATACAAAAGTACTAATTTGAAGGGAATCCATGCACCCTGATGTTTATAGCAGCATAATCTACAATAGCCAAATTATGGAAAGAGCCCAAATGTCCATCAATAGAATGGATGATATAGTAGCAATAGCCAAACTGTGGAAAGAGCCAAGATGCCCTTCAACAGACGAATGGATAAAGAAGGTGTGGTCCATAGATACGATGGAATATGACTCAGCCATCAGAAAGGATGAACACCCAACTTTTACATCAACATGGTTGGGACGGGAGGAGATTATGCTAAATGAAATAAGTCAAGAAGAGAAAGTCAATTATCATATGGTTTCACTTATTTGTGGAACATAAGGAACAGCATGGAGGACATTAGGAGAAGGAAGGGAAAGATGAAGGGGGGAATCGGAGGGGGAGACGAACCGTGAGAGACTGTGGGCTCTGAGAAACAAACAGGGTTTTAGAGGGAAGTGGGGAGGGGGGATTGGTTAGCCTGGTGATGGGTATTAAGGGGGGCACGTACTGCATGGAGCACTGGGTGGTATACGAAAACAATGGATCGTGGATCACCACATCAAAAACTAATGATGTATTGTATGGTGACTAACATAACATAATAAAATTAAAATAAAAAAAATAGGGGGCGCCTGGGTGGCTCAGTCGTTGAGCGTCTGCCTTCAGCTCAGGTCGTGATCCCGGGGTCCTGGGATCGAGCCCCGCATCGGGCTCCTTGCTCGGCGGGAAGCCTGCTTCTCCCTCTCCTACTTTCCCTGCTTGTGTTCCTTCTCTTGCTGTGTCTCTCTCTGTCAAATAAATAAATAAAATCTTTAAAAAAAATAAAATAAAATAAAATAAATAGAATGGATGATAAAATAAAATAGGTGAATGGATAAAGACGCGGTATAGGGGTGGCGCAGTAGGTTAAGCGTCCAACTCTTGATTTCTCCTCCTAACATCCCCTTTCCCCTTTTAGACTCTGTTCTCTTCATCACTGCCCGCCCCCTTCACTGGGTTTATAGGCTCATAGTTTGATCTTCCAAGTCCCTCCCACCATCCTTTGATGACTTCGGCATCCCAAGTATAAGACCTATCCAACCTGCAGTCCAACTCTGATTGTCCCCATGTCATATCCCTGACATCAACTCCTGGTCAGAAAACTTTGTCGGCACAGCTCCATCTCTGAAAAGTTGAACTCACTTACTTCTTTCTTGGACCACACAGACCCCTTCTTATCTCTTCCACATTTTCTCACTTCCACTTAATTTATTCAAGCTCTCTGACACTTCTGCTTCCTTTTGGTGTTTAGGTCTCCTGTGATCAGATCACACTCTAGTCCCTTCTGAGACAGGGCCACTAAAAACTATCATGTCAACAAACGCAATTTCTTGGTTCCTTTGTCCTCCTGAACAAGCAAACACCCCACAAGCAAAATCCCCTGGTGGATCAGCTCACAACTCAGCATCCCTGCTCCTACACAGTTTGAGAAAATTGCACAACCACGAAAATGGTGCCTTTACGAAAGGACAGTCCTGGTTGACTCACACCAGTGCTTGTCAATCCTATCGCAGACCGGCACCCCTGCCTCTCATTTCTTTTGGTGACCATTGCAAACCTTTACTACCCTAGTGGAGGTACTTTAACATTTATCTCACCAAACTGTTAGGAGAATGAGAAGTAGAAATCTTAGAAAGACTGGCAGATAAATAAGCACCTGGAAGTAAATTAAAAACAAAAACAAAACAAACAAACAACAACAACCAAAAAAACGTGTTCCAGCTGGAACATTGATTGGACATAAGCACTAATACAGACCTGAGACAATGGCTTCCTGTGACCACAGTTTATACCCCCACTGAAGACCATGTTGGGCATGATTGGCCTGGGGTAGTCCAGGACAAAGTCTCCTCTGAACAGCCACACGGATGCGAAGCTGAAAACGTCCACCATTGACACCTCTCTTCTGAAGAAGCTCAGACGCAAGGCTTGCATAAGGAGTGAAAGAAATGTGGCAAATGTACTTCAGGGCCAGAGGGTAGAGCATGTTCTTGACCCTTTGCAGGAATGTCATGTGGTCTGAATTCATTGTGAATAACCTGGGAATATATGAGGAAGGGTTTGGGCACTGTGCCCCCTCAACATCTAAGTCACATGGAATGGAACTCAAAAAAGACACAGCAGGTAGTGACAGGTACTTAGCCAGTACTGCCCCACAGGGGTAAACGGGATCAGTTAAAACCACCTCAAAGGAGCTGGCATTCAGGTGCCTGATCAGCTCCTTGTTATGCAGCAGCTCCTCACAAGACCTTTGAAAAACCAAAGCAGCACTCTTTAAACTTTCCATAGCTTTCAAAAACATCTTTAGAAAATGCGTTCTTTCAAATATCAGATAAGTCTGGCCCAGCAGGAGATGATTAAATTCATCCTGGGTGTACGGAGAGGCATAGGTTGTCAGGGTGAAAAAATCCTCTTTGATATGCATGTTCAACTCTGGTGAAACAACCACCATTTGGTGGCCTCTAGCATGGAGCTCCTGCACGGCCTCCTTCATGCTGAGCCAGTGGCTGCCATCCATGGGCACCACCAGCACCTTCCCCCCTTCAGCCCCGGGTCTGACGCACAGGAAAATCAATAGCCCCATGAGTGTTGGCAGGGGAACCAGGAATCTTGCAGCCCTGTCCATAGAAGCCCAAAGCAGCTGACTTTTCAGATCAGGCTATGCCTCCTATGCCTTTATTTCCTTTGTCTTTATCTTATCATTGAGCCACTTAGAATGGCAGGTAACTGGCAGGCAGTATGCCCTTCTTGTGTTAATTATTACAGACTAGATCTATCCCTCACTTTCACCACCGGCCTTACCCTTCTGCTTCCACGCAGGGAGAGATCAATCTCCCTTATCATGGAAAAACTCATCTGCCTTGGCTGCTTTCTCCAGGGAACACTCTAATTCACTCTGTTGCTTTTTATCCAGTTCCCAAAACAGGGCTGTGGATGCCCATTTCACTTGATCTCCTCCTATTTCTGAGGTCTGAGGAGTCACCAATGCCCCAGTCTCCAAGGATGACCTCTCTGTTGGATGTGACCTTACCTGAGATCTCTAAAACTCTTTCCTCCCATTTGTGGGGAACGTGGAGCACACCCAGAAGAATATATAACATTGCTAAGACAGCTTTCTCTAAACAGGAAGGGAGGCACTAGCCCTTTGATTTTGTTCCTTTTCCACACCAGGACATCTCTTGCAATGGTCAGGGAAGGATCTACTTGAAGCGGCCATCAAATATGTAAATATCTCAAAGGATCCTGTGCTGGAGACATGAGGACAACACAAGGATTTGTTGAGGGTTCTATATTTACTTCACAGAATAAAAGTTGCTGTTATCTAAAGCATAAATGGGCAAAACAACCTTTATCGATGACATAGTGGGACCAGAGAGCACCCTCCCCCAGAGCCTGCTTTCCTCGGAACAAGAGGTAGTGGTCAGCCAGCCTCGGATCAAGCTGACTCCACTCCTCTTCTCCAGTCTTCTACTACTCTGTTTAGGGACAGGGGTCTTTCACTAAGGAAGTTACTAATAACTTCCTTACCCCAACCTCCTTCCCATGAAAACCACCCATTTCATACAATGCCTCAGAGCTCCCCTGTACTTCCTAGATGGGATGTTGCCCAATTCATGAATCCTTAATAAGGCCAATTAGATCTGCAAATTTACTCAGTTGGACTTTTGTTCTTTAGCAACTCTAAGACACAAATCTAGACAGAATAAATAAGGAGACGGGATGGGAAGATTTAACATTATAATGCTCCTGACACCCTTTCCCAAGGCCCATTTCTTCAGTTTCCTGGCTGGTTCACTAATTGTTGGCTCACAAACTGGCCACCATACACAGAGGGCAAGGAGAGACTGAACAAAGAGGCAGGCCACTCCAGATGGTGGGTGGCAGGGGTAATAAAAAGGGAACTCACTCACAAGGCTTGTCTTGAGTGCCCACAAGACCAGTAGATCTCTGCCCCTGCCTGCCAAATCTTAAAAGTTTACATAGAGGCCTTAACTGGGTTCAGTCCTCTATATGATCCAGATAGTATACCATCAACAACACCTGACTCTCTCAAGGCTACATCCTTGGAAACAGCTCCCACTGGAGAATGGTGGGCAGAACATACATCCCCAGGACAGCGAAGGAGCCGAGAAGCTTCCAATGGCCTGTCCAGCCCCCAGGTAAACCAGCATGAGCATCCCTCCCAATTACTCCCTCCAACACTCAACAACAACAACAAAAACAAATTTTTTAACTAAACAAAGGATTTGAATAGATTATTGTCCAAAGAAGATATAAGAACAGTCAACAAGCTCAACATCAGTAGTCATTAGGGCAATGCAAATAAAAATGAGATATCACCTCTTGCCCACTAGGATAGCTATAATAAAAAATTTTAAATGCAAAATAACAAGTGTTGGCAAAGATGTGGAGAAACTGGAATATCCATACCTTACTTGTAGGAATATAAAATGGTGTAGCCACTGTGGAAAACAGTTTGTCAGTTCCTCCATAAGTTACACATAGAAATACTATCTGACCCAGCAATTCTGCTCCTGGGGATATACTCAAAAGAACTGAAAACAACTGTTAAACAAAGAGTTGTCCACAAATGCTCATAGCAGCACTATTCACAATGGCAAAGAGTGTAAACCCATCAACTGATGACATAAATGTCCAGCATCAGGCACCTGTCTGGCTCCGTCAGAAGATCATGCAGCTCTTGATTTTGAGATGGTGAGGTCAAGCTCCACAATGGATGCAGAGATTACTTAAATAAATAAAACTTAAAAAAAAAAAAAAAAGAAATGTCCGGGCGCCTGGGTGGCTCAGTTGGTTAAGCGACTGCCTTCGGCTCAGGTCATGGTCCCGGAGTCCGGGGATCAAGTCCCACATCAGGCTCCCTGCTCATCAGGGAGCCTGCTTCTCCCTCTGACCCAACCCCCTCTCATGTGCTCTCTCTCATTCTCGCTCTCTCAAATAAATAAATAAATCTTAAAAAAAAAAAAAAAGAAATGTCCATCAACTGATAAATGTACAAACAGTGGTCCATCCACACAATGGAATATTATTCAGCCATAAAAAGAAATGAAGTACCAGGGCACCTTGGTGGCTCAGTCCGTTAAGCGTCCGACTCTTGGTTTCCACTCAGGTCACGGTCTCAGAGTCCTGGGATGGAGCGCCCGTGTCAGGCTCCACACTCAGCGGGGAGTATGTTCCAGGATTCTCTCTTTCCCTCCCTCTCTCTCTCTGCCCCTCCTCCCCCAAATAAATATATAAATCTTAAAAAAAAAAAGGAATTAAGTACCAACACATGCTACAACATGGATGAACCTTGAAACATTACATTAAGTAAAGAAGTCAGATACAAAAGGCCACCCATTGTACGATTTCATTTCTGTGAAATATCTAGAATAGGCAAATCTATAGACAGAAAGCAGATTGGTGGTCGCTAGGGGTTGGGGAGGGCAGAATGCAGAGAGACTACTTAAAAGGTATGTGCATGTCCTTTTGGGGTGACAAGAATCTTCTGGAACTAGGTAGTGGTGACAGTGTACATGCCGGGTGTACCAAACACCACTGAATTGCACACTTTAAAATGGTGAATTTTATTTTATGTGTATTTTGTTGCAATAAAACAAATGGAGCAGGCACTTTGAACAACAATCTGGCAGTTCCTCAAAGATAAAACATAGAGTAATCACACAACCTAGCCATTCCACTCCTCGGTACATATCCAACAGAATTGAAAACATATGTCCACACAAAACTTGCCCATGAATGTTCACAGCAGCATTATTTATAATGGCCAAGAAGTAGAAACAACCCCAAAGTCCATCGACTGATGGGTAGATACATGAAGTGTGGTATATCCATAGAAGGAAATATTATTCAGTAATAAAAAATAATGCTACAACATGAATGAACCCCGAAAACATTATGCCACGTTAAAAAAGCCAGTCACATATTCTGTGATTCCCATTTATTTGAGATGATCAGAATAGGCAAATCCATAGAGACAGAAGAATAAATCAGTGATTGCCAGGAGCTGAAGTGTGACTGCTAATGGGGTGGGAGTTTCTTTTAGGGGTGACTGCAAACATTCCAAAACCAATTGTGGTGATGGTTGCTAAAGATATGCTAGAAACCACTGAACCGTAAACTTGCCATGAATGAATTGTATGATCCATGACTTATAGCTCAGGATATTTGTTTGTTTTTTTAAACCCACTTAATCTCATTCTCTTAGAATTATGTCAATTATTAATCAAGCAAGGTTCTCGAGTTTTTCAGATACTCATGTTGAATACTTTTTCAAAAAAATGCTGACTCCCAGGGGCACCTGGGTGGCTCAGTCATTAAGCGTCTGCCTTCGGCTCAGGTCATGATCCCAGAGTCCTGGGATCGAGCCCCACATCGGGCTCCCTGCTCCGCCGGAAGCCTGCTTCTCCCTCTACCAGTTCTCCTTGTGTTCCCTCTCTCGCTATGTCTCTCTCTGTCAAATAAATAAATAAAATCTTTTTAAAAATGCTGACTCCTGCTAATATTTAGCTACTCTGGATAATTACTTATTAACAGAAACAATACTGTCAAAATGTTCTGCATGTCCGATCAGTCATAAAGATAAACACATTTCAAAATCCTTTTTGAAAGAAAAACAAACCATGAAAGGCATTGTAGACATTGGCCTAAGTCATGTACTTTAAAAAGTACCTATTAAGAATGACTTGGCATTTTGGGGTTTTGTTCCCCTGACTTGCCTGGAATTCAATCCTCAGCTCAACCAACAAATGTAGAGACTGAAGCCCAAGTGACTATTACTTGTAGAGACCCCTGAAGGGAGACCAGATGGCTCAGGGAGTGGGCAAAGGATCCCTGGGGCCCCTCACCATCCAGCTGGGGCCCTGCTGGTAGAAGTCACTGATAGTCACGTGGCATTGATTTAGATCAGCATTTCTCAACTTCAGCACTATTGGGGGACAGATAATTCTTTGTTGGGTGTGGGTGGGTGGGTATTTCTTGTGCTTTACAAAGGATTTCTAACAGCATCCCTGGCCTCTAAAATTAGACAGTGTCATCCCCTAATTGTGACATCAAACATGTCTCTAGATGTTGCCCCCCAGGGTTGCAAAATTGCCCCTATTTGAGAACCACTCTCTAGATGACTCCAGAACACAAGGCAACCTGGGAACAGAAGAACGAGTCCTGAGGAATTGGGATCTAGTTTTCTGAGAAAATGCTCCCCAAAGAATGGTGTGAGAAAGTCATGTTGTTCGTATCAGCTTGCAGAAAGAACATTTCAGCCTGCATTGAGAGAAGGTCCAGAGAAGAGAGGGCCAGGAGCCATGACTTCCCCTGATAGTCCACTGAGTCCCTTCACACATTGCCCTCATGATCCTCAAACAGCCTGTGAGGAGTGAGGCACATGCTGTCAGCCCCACTGTGAGATGAGAAGACTCAAGTCCAAGGCCAAAGCTCCTCAGATCTGCTGACTCATCTTTCTGCCTCCTTCCTTCCCTTCATGGGGCTGCTACCCTCCAGGTCTGGTATAGCTGGGAAAAGAGTTCTGGGCAAACATGTGGCCTCCGGGTGGGAGAGTAACAAGGTGGTGGGTTCTACCCTGCCTCAGCCCCTTGCTGCAGCCGG